GCATGCGCTCGCCAGACAGACAGAGACATAGAGACAGAAAGCGAGAAATCACCCCCCAGGGGGGATGGTCACGCCGCAATCCCCTCTCCTCCATTCTCCTCTTGGGATCCTGGGCATGCACGCACATGCGCCCGGCATGAGTTCTAAGCCACCAGGTCCGGGACGAGAACCGCGGTCGACCACATGGGAGTCCAGCGACATAGCCATTACGCTAACTGCTGGTTCCCTTTTTTTTCTTTTTTTGAAGAGGTTTATTTTGCTATAGGGTACGTGCGCTCACCAGAAAGACAGAGAGAGACAGAGAGACAGAAAGCGAGAAATCACCCCTGAGGGGGGATGACCACGCCGTAATCCCTTCTCCCCCATTCTCCTCTCAGGATCTTGGGCACGCACGCACACGCGCCTGGCGTGAGTTTAAGTCACCAGGTCCGGGACTCGAACCACTGTCAACTACATGGGAGTTCAGCGACATAGCCATTACGCTAACTGCTGGTCCCTACCGTTCATTCTTCACTCTCCTTTGGTTAGGCTGCTGGCTCCTTGCGGGTAGAGGCTTTTGTCCTGCTCACTGCCTGGCACGAGAGGGAGTTGCCCACATGGGACAGAGGGACGAAGTATCCAGCCATGTGCTCCATCCGTTCCTTGCTCAGCCTCTCTGTTTTTTTTTTTCCCCCTTCATTTTCTAGTTCTCCTGAGACTGTTAAAGAGATTTACGATGAGCGGTCCCAGAGGACTTGCCAGCTTTCTTTTGGGCCATACCTGGGTGAGGGTGGGGATGTTTTGCCCTGAGAATAAGGCGCTTACTTGGAGGGTGGAGCCTCTGGGCTTCATTTGAATTGGGACTCGTTGTTTTTTCCTAGGACAGCCTACATGATTTGTGGGACCCATGACAACACGAATTGGAATTAAAAAAAAAAAAAATTCAGACGGCGAGCGTTAAACCCATAACAGGTCCTTCTGTGTAAGAGACCCTGTGTGATTGCCTAGGTCACATACCTATGAGGCCAGCCCTGTCTGTCCCAGTCCCCGGGAGCCTCCAGGCTGTTCCCGTGCAGCTCCCACCCCTAACCTGCTGCCCCAGGAGGACAAGGCCAGGCCTGTGGTTCCAGCCCTGGTCCAGCCCTGGGACAGAAGTTTCTCCACCACTGTGAGGCCTCGTGAGTGTCCAGCGCGAGGCCCTCACTATGCAGAGCAGGAGCTGAGGGCTGGACAGCAGGTTGATGTGGCTGGCCCATCCCTCCAGGCCACTCTGCTGACCACTGGCCCCTCTGCAGGCCTGGACCATGGCTGCTCAGGTGGCTTGAGCACAATTTGGAGAAAGGACTGCCTCAGCCCCCAAAAACCTCTGAGGTGAGTCAGGAGAGGGGGGATGGGGAGCTGGCCACCCGGGAGGGCTTTGAGAAGAATCTCTACTCCACCAGACTCTCTCCATCCCCCCAGGACCCATGGAGGAGTGATTTCCTCCTTGGAGGGTCCTCGATGGGAAGGCATGACTACAAGATGAGGCAGTGGGATTCAGGGGGAGGTCCACCTGCCTCCTGCTGGCCAGGGTGGGGAGCATGCAGGGCTGGCTTTGATCCATGACTTTGCTCCCTGTTTGTCTCAGGGCTGCAGAGATGAGCTTGCAACTACTGACCTGGGCCCAGGTACAGAGAGGGGACCTTGGGAGAGGGCTGCCTGGGGTAGTGACAGGCTGGGTGGGCAGAGGGGAGAGAATTAGAGCCTGGGAGGTCCCAGGGGAGGCTCTTAGCCCTCACTCAGCAAGAGAGGGGTTCAGGGTTTGTTGGAAGCAGGTTATTCTGGGAGACACTTGAATCCCCTCCCCAACCTAGGCTAGAAGTCAGAGGCCGGGGTTAGACTTATGAGGTCTTGGATAAGTCCCCTCCCCTCCCTGGGTATCAGTTTCCTCAACTGTCTGGTCTGTGTAATAATGGGGTTGGCTGGGGTAGACCCATAGGGCTCCCCACTCAGTCACAGGCCCCCTGAGCCCTTGAGGGGTTGAATGAGCACTCCTGCTGTGACAACTCC